TCCGAAGTAGCAAATATAAAATGATCCTCATTGGAACTGGCCAAGCTTCAACAAGCAAATTGGAGCTCCGTACCCTAGAACCCGATGCATGGTTCGTATACCAGGGAACAAGTGTACAGAAAGAGACACAGAGAGAGAGAGAAGAGAGTAGGAGAGGGGGCAAAGAAGAGAAAATAATGAACATCATCAAGCATCACGGCACAACCATCAACGCGGGGCCGACAGGAGCCGGCCATCCTCAGAACAGATCTTGGTTTGAAATCTATCTCATAGCCAGGGAGGCTCCGAAGTAGCAAATATAAGGTGATCCTCATTGGAATTGGCCAGGCTTAAACAAGCAAATTGAGGAGCTTCCGTATCCTACAACCCAAAGCATTGTCCGCATACCAGGGTACACAAGCACAGAAAAAGACAGAACAGGGACAGAGAAAGAGAGAACAAAGAGAGAGGGGGTAGAGAAGAAACATTTACGAAATAGAGCAACACGGCACAACCATCAACAAGGGACCGACAGGAGCCGGCCATCCTCAGAACAGATCTTGGATTGAAATCTATCTCATAGCCAGGGAGGCTCCGAAGTAGCAAATATAAGGTGATCCTCATTGGAATTGGCCAGGCTTCAACAGACACACTGAGGAGCTTCCGTACCCTACAACCACAAACATTGTCCGCATACCAAGGAACATAAGGCACGGAAAAAGACAGAAAGGAGGACAAAGAAAAAGAGAGAACGAAAGGAAAAGGGGCGTGGGCAAAGAAAGGAAACACTTACGAAATATAACGGCACGGCACAACCATCAACGCGGGACCGACAGGAGCCGGCCATCCTCAGAACAGATCTTGGTTTGAAATCTATCTCATAGCCAGGGAGGCTCCGAAGTAGCAAATATAAGGTGATCCTCATTGGAATTGGCCAGGCTTCAACAAACACACTGAGGATCTTCCGCACCCTATAACCCAAAGCATTGTCCGCATACCAGGGTACATAAGGCACAGAAAAGACAGAAAGTAGACAGAGAAGAAGAGAGAAGGAAAAGGGGCGTGGGCAAAGAAAGGAAACATTTACGAAATATAACGGCACGGCACAACCATCAACGCGGGACCGACAGGAGCCGGCCATCTTCAGAACAGATCTTGGTTTGAAATCTATCTCATAGCCAGGGAGGCTCCGAAGTAGCAAATATAAGGTGATCCTCATTGGAATTGGCCAGGCTTCAACAAAAACACTGAGAATCTTCCGCACCCTACAACCCAAAGCATTGTCCGCATACCAAGGTTCACAAACACAAAAAAAGACAGAAAGGAGGAAGAGAAAGAGAGAACAACGAGAGAGGGGGCGTGGGCAAAAAAAGAGGAAACATTTACGAAATAGAACGACACGGCACAACCATCAACGCGGGACCGACAGGAGCCGGCCATCCTCAGAACAGATCTTGGTTTGAAATCTATCTCATAGCCAGGGAGGCTCCGAAGTAGCAAATATAAGGTGATCCTCATTGGAATTGGCCAGGCTTCAACAAGCAAATTGAGGAGCTTCCGTACCCTACAACCCAAAGCATTGTCCGCATACCAGGGTACACAAGCACAGAAAAAGACAGAACAGGGACAGAGAAAGAGAGAACAAAGAGAGAGGGGGTAGAGAAGAAACATTTACGAAATAGAGCGACACGGCACAACCATCAACGCGGGACCGACAGGAGCCAGGGGGGCTCCGAAGTAGCAAATATAAGGTGATCCTCATTGGAATTGGCCAGGCTTCAATAAGCAAATTGAGGAACTTCCGTACCCTACAACCCAAATCATTGTCCGCATACCAGGGTACATAAGGCACAGAAAAAGACATGAAAGAGAAAGAGAAAGAGAGAACAAAGAGGGAGGGGGTGTGGGCAAGGAAGAGAGGAAACATTTTACGAAATATAACGGCACGGCACAACCATCAACGCGGGACCGACAGGAGCCGGCCATCCTCAGAACAGATCTTGGTTTGAAATCTATCTCGTAGCCAGGTGGGCTCCGAAAATCAACAAAAACACTGGAATCTTCCGCACCCTACAACCCAAAGCATTGTCCGCATACCAAGGTACACAAGCACAGAAAAAGACAGAATAGAGAAAGAGAGAGAGAGAGAGAACAAAGAGAGAGGGGTGTGGGCAACGAAGAGAAAAAAAACACATTTACGAAATATAACGACACGGCACAACCATCAACGCGGGACCGACAGGAGCCGGCCATCCTCAGAACAGATCTTGGTTTGAAATCTATATCATAGCCAGGGAGGCTCCGAAGTAGCAAATATAAGGTGATCCTCATTGGAACTGGCCAGGCTTCAACAGACACACCGAGGAGCTTCCGTACCCTACGACCCAAAGGACAGATCTTGGCGCAGAGGAAACATTGTCCTCATGGGATCGGGCCATGCTTCAACAGGCAAGGCGAGAAGCTTCCGTACCCTCCACCAGAAGTATTGTCCGTATTGCACGGGAGAAAGGCACATAAAGGAGCAGAGACATAAAGCGAGAGAGAGAGAGAGCAAAACTAATGAGGGGGGCAAAGAAAAAGGAGAAATCGACGAAAAAAAACAACACCGCACAACCATCAAGATCTTGGTTTGACATTTATCTCATAGCCACGAAGGCTCCGAAGCAGTGATCCTCATTGGAACTGGCCAGGCTACAACAGGCAAATTGAGGAGCTTCCGCATCCTGCAACCCTAAACACTGTCCGCATTATCATTGGACGAACTATCAGAGCGACAGAGAAAGATAGAGAGAGAGAGAGACGAAAGACGGTGGTCGGCAACGAAGAGAGAAACATTAACGAAAATAATCAATACGGCGCAGCCATCAACGCGGGATCGACAGAAGCCGGCCATAACAGACCTTGGTTTGGAATTTATATCATAGCCAGGACGGCTCCGAAACAACAAATCTAAATTGATCCTCATCGGGACCGGCCAGGCTTCAACAGACAAGTTGAGCAGTTTCTGTACCCTGCAACCCAAAGAACAGATCTTGGCGCAGAGGAAGTCTATACCATTGCTGCGCTCCGAAAATTCAAATATGACGATGGCGTAATCATCACTGGAATTGCCTGGGCCGCCATTTCCAATCAACGAGGAATCAAAGTCAATACGCGCTGCTGTTGGTGCGATACGAGTGCTCAAAAAGTGAAATAAAGAAGATGAGGCTGTCATGAAGAAAGCCCATCGGCGAGAGTGCCCATCATAGTTCTACCAAATGGCCCACACGGGCCACAGCGCGCCACAATCTACCACGTTGATATAGAAACCGGAGCGAATGACCGACCTGAGTCGGCCCTCAAAGCTCACACTGCGGAATGTGTGAGAATCCCGGTATCCAAACACCCCCAGAAGAATACACAACCCCTCCAGCAGATTTCTGTACGGTGGGACATCAGCCGAGAGGGAGAGGGAGCGAGAGGGAGAGAAAGAGGAGAAAAGAATGGGACGACAAATATGGATAATGTCCGAAATGAAACAACACGGCACAACCATCAATGCGGGACCGACAAAAGCCGGCCATCCTCAGAACAGGTGATCCTCATTGGACCTGGCCAGGCTTCGACAGACAAGTTGAGCAGTTTCCGTATCCTACAACTTAAAGCGTTGTCCGCATGCCCGGCAACATTCGGCTCCGGATTCCAGCCTGTCTCATAACCAGGCAGGCTGGAGTAGCCAGGCCAGGCAGGCAAAACCATCAACGCGGGTCTGACAGAAGCGTGCCATCCTCCGAACAGATCTTGGTGGAAGGCTCCGAAGTAGCAAATATAACATGATCATCATTGGAATTAGCCAGGCTGCAACAACCAAATTCTGGAGCTTCCTGACGTAAAGGAATATATACCGTTGCTGCGCTCCGAAATATCAAATATGGTAATGGTGTAATCACCGCTGGGATTGGCGGCAGCGTCATTGCCAGATAACGTGGAATCAAGGACATTGCGCGCTGCTAACATTACACGGTCAATGTTATGTGAATGGGCATGAAGTGTGGAAGAGGAATGATACTACTCTACTGGTGTCGCGTCGGCGAATGGAACCTACATAGTCCAACCAGTCCTTTCGGGCGTGGGTGGACTAGGGCAATGTAAGGCAATTTCTCTTCGAACCCTCTTCTTCCCTTTTTTGGAAAAGGGGTTACCCCTCCCCCTACCCGCTCCCTCGAACGGTAAGATGCGCTGCGAACATTACACGATCGGTGTTACGCGAGTGCTCATTGCACGCAAGCGAGACCCCAGACCCAGAACACCGCCCTCAAGGCGAAAGCCAACATAGAAACCGTCGCCAGGGACATATCTCTAGCACGGCGGACCCCCCGCTGGGCATGCCACGCCTGAGTACACAGCCTGGCAACTATCCACATAATAAACCTAGAGCCAGGGCCAGCGCTGGGGAAAGAAAAACGTTCCTAGAGAGGTGAATTCACAATAACCGCATACCCAAACAAGTGGGGGTCACCCTTGAGCCGAACGGAAACGATGATAATATCACTTCATGCCTACCCTGCAGCTATTCTGCCAACCCCTCCTCCCAGGAGAGAGGGGGAAGTGGAGGGCCGAGAATCGGTGTGATAGAGATGAGCTCGGCTTTGATGACGGCGCATGCTCGACCAATAATCCACCTCCTCCAGCTGTTCGTGTCGCGAAGCCGTCGAGTTTGGTTTCTGACACCGCGAGGACCATTCATCATTGAACAATTGTGACTTTCCGATACATCGGATCGCTCCATACCGGCCGATTCTGGACCAGTGGCGGCGTTCAACCTTGAGCGCACTCGCTGGGGTCACCGCACATACCTAGCGCATATGGCTGCAGTACAGAACTGAAACATACCATAATCATAATGGCGCCATGCCTAGCAATAGACAAATGATACATAGACGTACACCGCGTGCATGATACCAGCACGCAGAACGACAATGGCAAGGACGGCATCAGATACACAGCATGTTTTGGCGGGGTGCGAATGCAAGCATGGCCGCCTCCAATAGTCTGACCAGTCGGAAGCAGTCCTGTGGAGCAGGGAAACAAACACCAGGAGCACTTACACATTTGTCCTGCCAAGGTCTCCATGCACGATTCCCGCCCCTTGAAGGTAAATGCTTGTGCTCTGTGCTCCCAAACCAGCGCAACTGAAGCAATCACCCTCTCAAACTCACGTTACATGTTTCTCGCGGTGCGGGCTGTGCCTGCACATATCGCTCTGCGCAGATGCAAAGCCGCAAACACCATCGGCTTCCAGGGACCTGGCGCAGAGGTGAAGGCGATCTTGCTACCTCAAGGCGCTGCCGAGCGTTCGAACGGGGGTCCAGGTCGGTACAATCGTCGCGCTACCATAGTCCGCTGACCGCCGCTTGCCGGGGGCGAGCAAGCGTGTGCGATGATCGGCTGCCTCCCCTCCCCGCCTTTCTTCCTCCGCGGGGATCCAAACATCCTCTTCAAAAGAAGCGGGGGGGCGGGAGGGCGGCGGCGCGAGCTCTTCAGTGTACCTCCGGGGTCCCCAGGCCTCTAAATCCGCCCCCTAACGCCTCCGGGTTGTCCCAAAAAGGGCCAGCAGCAATTTCACGGAGCGGTGCAAGAAACTCCCGGCCCACCCAAAGACCGCACCCAGACGCCCAACCGGGGCTGAAAACGACCCAAGAGTCGCCCAAGACGCCTCAAAGAAGCTCCAAGAGCACCTCACCTCCCAGAGGGCTTCGAGCGGCGAGAATCAGCAATTGTCATTTGTTTCGAGCCCAGACGCCAAAGACAACCCTAGAGACCGCCAAGAAGCTCCCACAGAAGGCCCCAAGAGCCCCACAAGAGGCCCAAAGACACTCCCACGAGACCCCCCCGAAGCCCCAGGAACCCCCGAAAGGACCACGAGGCCTCCTCGAAGCCCAAGACGCTCGCACGAGGTATCAAAAATCGTAAGAGATGATATGCTGTCCCAGCCCCCCTCTCCCCCTCCCCTGAGTTCCAATACCTTGTCAGAGAAGGAGGGCCCGGGGGGGGACTCGCAAGGAGATCCAAGCTCAAAGCAGCTAAAATCCAGCTCGTCATGTAAGACGTTCTAATACATACCTCGCACTAGCAAGTTCCGTTGGCTCCTCACTTCGTCTTGGGGTCGGCGGGTGGGCGTATAGTAGGAGCTCGACCACACGAAACCTTCCACAAGAAACCCAACCTTGAGACCCCGGGACGTCCATTGATGTCTGCTGTGGGGACGTCACGTGTTCCCATTGTAGAACCATCGCGAAACCCAGGAAACCAAGGGCACCCTGGAGGCAAGAATAATGTTTCTTGACATGGACTTCTCCACTGTACGAAGGAGTTCCCCGACCGGGATCTGATGAGCGAGTCGATAGCCAAACCCCCTTTCAACTTCTCCACTCCTTTTTACCATGCGGGATAACGTCAGTACTACCGAGCGCGCGAGCGCCCCCGACAGCCATCAAACGGCGAGTCCACGACGAGCACGTCTCGCCACACGCGCCCCGGGGAAGCCAGCCCACGCTCAGCACTGACTCGACGGACGCGCCATGAAGAGCTCTGGCTCCATGGCTTTCCGAGTCCAATGGCGCTGAACAGAGGCAGGACCACACGAGGGTAACCAGACCAAGTGGGGCAGAACCCTTCTTTCCCTTTGTTCTCGTCCTCCTCCTTCCTCATCCTCCTTTTCCGCCTGCTCATCCTTAAGGGGGCCCCAGGACACACAAATAAATACGCACAAATAAAAAGATTCCCCATATTTTCCCATGTTTTCTGGGTTTCTGTCTTCCCCCCCACTTCCCATATTTTCCCATATTTTCCGGGGAATCGTCGATTAATTGTGTCTGTGTGTTTTTTTCCCTCCTGACATCCTCTTGCTCATCCGCCACCTCCTCCCCCAATGTACGCGGCTGCCCGCTCCCGATGGCGCACAAACCCGACGGGCTCCCGTTTGGCATTCTGGGTCCACTGTGACAAGCATCTGCGGACAGAGAACACCTCAGCGCAATTTGGAAGAGAGATGCGCACCCCGCCTGTCCCCCCCCCTCCCCCCCCCCCTCCTCCAGCGCCCCCCCCCTGCACCACCCCCCTCCCCAACGCCGCCCCCCCCCCCGCTGCACAAGCCCACCCCCCCTCCCACCGCCCCCTCGTCCCCGATTCTCCTCCAGATCCTGGGCCACCCAACTCGTCCTCAGGACCCCACCCCAGGGTGGCTTTACACCGCTTGCGGCACCTCGCCCTTCGGACCCCATCCCTCAGGACCCCATCTTCGAACCGATTTGTTCAGCACGCGTCCCGAGTCGATTCTTGACGGTCCGGGGGCCCACAGCGAGGGCCTTCAGAGGCCCCAAAAACGACAAAGAAGAACCTCCGTCCCGAATGTCCTACGATGCGGTCATGTCTGGGCCCTCATCCTCGGGTCCGCCGCCCCCCGTCCCCGAACTCTCCACGCTGGAGCCTTTCCTGGGCCTCGCTGGTGCCCGAGAGCTCCCTGGACGCCTCTGAAGGTCC